GGATAATCAATTAATTTATATGCTATGTATGTGTTATTATATATGATTTCTTTACATATTTTATTTATGTATTATTATATATTTATTGTATTGTATTATATATTTATTGTATTTAATATTTATTCAAATAATATTATTATTATTTAATTATTATTTCATTTGAGCAGAAAAACACTCAAAAATGCACGCCAAATTGTGAAAACATGCTCAAATCCATTTCAATACATTTTTATGGAGAAACATACATTCTAAAAATGCACCAATCAGCCTAAATCAAGCTACAAAAGTAGCTCCAAATTTTTTTGAGATAACTTGGAGTGGAGATGTGAACCATCTCCATAGAGAATAATTGATTTTTCCTCCTGAGTGTTTTGGTGCTTCAAGCTTCAAAATGCTCAGGTGTGAATAGGGAGTTCAGATTCCAGAATTCCAGAATGGTCCATAAATATATTAAAGAGGGATGACAACAGGGGCGGACTGACCATTTGGAAACTCCGGACTGCCCGAGGGCCCGGGGTCAGTAGGGGGCCCCATGAGATGCCCCTGGTACCTTTTTCATAGGCTTTTTTGAGTTTGGGCATGGACACAGAGGCCCCATGATCCCCTATTGCCTGGGGGCCCCATGAGTTGTCAGTCCGCCCCTGACTGTCATTAGTTTAGGGTGATTAAACAGAACCTGTGCCCCCTTATATCAGGTGTCCCTATCAGAGTCCCTCCTTATAACAGGAGTTCTTCTTAGAGTTTCTCCTTACATAAATTCTCCTTTAAGAGTCTCTTGGGAACCAGGTGGGATCTGAGAGAGGCTGCCGTTCCCAGAGATGTCCGGAGCTGTGAAGGTGAGTGTGTTCTCTCTCCCGCCGAGGGTGGTGGAGTGGTGGAGGGTGTATGGGGGGAAATAGTAGTTGATGCTGGCTCTCTCCGAAGGAGGAGAGGGAATATGGTGTTGGTTGGTGTCAGACTCTCTCCACATGTGGGGGAAGGGGGGGGTTGGTGACCAGTGTATGGGGGGCAGTAATAATTGGTCGGTGCTGACTCTCTCTGCAGGAGGAGAGGGGATATGGTGCTGGTTGGTGTCAGACTCTCTCCACGTGTGGGGGAAGGGGGGGGGGGTTGGTGACCAGTGTATGGGGGACAGTAATAGTTGGTCAGTGCTGACTTGATGATATTAGGGTCAGGAAACTGTGATGGCCACTCCAGGACCTTCATCTTTTTCTGCTGTAACCACTGGAGAGTCACCTTGGCCTTGTGCTTAGGATCATTGTCATGCTGGAAAGTCCAAGAGCGTCCCATGCGTGCAGAAGAATGAAAATTGTTTGTCCTTTGTGATAACATGCTGCATTCATCTTGCCATCAATTTTTACAAGATTCCCTGTGCCCTTAGAGCTCACACCCCCCCAAAACATCAGTGAGCCACCACCATGATTCACAGTGGGGATGGTATTATCCAAACATAGCGCTTAGGGTTGTGATCATAAAGCTCTATTTTGGTCTTGTTACTCTAGATTACAGTGTGCCAAAAGCTGTGAAGTGTGTTGTCAGGCATATTGTAACCAGGTTTTTCTGTGGCATTAGCGCGGTAAAGGCTTCTTTCTGGCAGCTTGAACATGTAGCTCATTTTTGTTCAAGTATCATCATATTGTGCTCCTTGAAACAATAACACAATTTTTTTTCTTTGTATCCCAAACAATTCTTCTGGCATTTGTGGCTGCAATCTTTCTTGGTCTACTTGACCTTGGCTTGGTATCAAGAGAGTCCTGAATTTCCCACTACTTAATAAGTGAGCAGTACTGATGGGCATATTCAAAGATTTGGATATCTTTTTATATCCTTTTCCATCTTTATAAAGTTCCATTATCTTGTTACACAGGCCTTTTGACAGTTCTTGTCTGCTCCCCATGGCTCAGTATCTAGCCTGCTCAGTGCATCCACGTGAGAGCTAACAAACTCATTGACTATTTATACACAGACACAAACAGCAATTTAAAAAGCCACAGATGTGGAAAATTAACCTTTAAATGCCAATTTAACCTCCGTGTGTGTCACCTTGTGTGTTTGTACCAAGCCCAAAAATTCCAGGGTATGTAAACTTTTGATCATGGCCATTTGAGGTATTTCTGTTATCATTATGATTTAAGAAGGAGCCAAAAAACTATGTAGTAATACATTTTCACTTCAGAGTTCCCCCATGCTAGCATGCAGGTAGCTCCTGTCACAAAGCGTCCCTGGTTCCTAGGACACAGAGGGTTCTTGCCTCCTAGCTTCCTTGGTTGCCAATAGAGTTCAATTATGCTCTCATGTACTCATGTAAATTTCACAGATGTTTCATGTGTACAGTGTATAGACTCCCTAGGTAGCAGTTGAATGTAAACCAAGGGGGCTTGGTACGCTGGCTGACATCATTGGCCAAATATGGTTGTGACAATGTTTTGTTAATTATATCAGTAAAGCTCCCCGGCACTGCTGTTCACATTCCAACAGCATGGGGATCTGTCAGTTGCAGCGAGAGTCCATTGGTAGAAATTTGTTTTAGTTTTTGTGTCATCAGGATCATCGTTAATCATGACTGACGAAGCATCTAATGATGACTGAATATAGATTTTTTTTAAAAATAAAACACTATATTAAGGTGCATATTGTTTTACTTTGTAATTTGTTTTGGGAATGAGTATCCAGAGGTACTACGTACCATTTACTTGCCCTGAAATGAAACTCAAGAAAACTGATAAGGCAAAAGGTAAGAATGCAGAATAAGTGCAAGATGTGACCTCACAAACATTACAGTAATATTGTGCACTGACCTTTTTACACGACCAGCGTATACTGTAGCTTTCTCCGCCTTATGTGCAGCCACAGGCCACCAAAGAATTGTAACAATACGCTTCGAGATTAGGTTGCCTGTGAACACCAGAAGTGAGGGAGCTAGCCCTAGGCATGCAGCAGATATAAAAGAAAAATCCAGGACTAGAAAAGCTGTACTAAGAGCAAGTAAACTATATACAGTCTTGTTGTAGCATCAATCTTCTGCCGGCTGATGGGGCCCTTGAGGACGCTGGTGCAGCTACTAAACATATACCTCTGCACACAGTGTGATATACAAAGTAGTGGGTTCCTTACAACACAAGACTGACAGTGAGCCAGGCAATATTTTTTTACTTTGTAATTTGATGAGACCTGCTCACCAGTTTCCCCCGTTCTATCTCTATCTATCTATCCATTCAGTCGTATCCGACCCTTGGTGATTGCATGGACCGTCACTCGTAAGCGACTTTTTCCATGAATTCTTTTAGCAATTATTTTCCCCGTTCTATATCAGTAAATTATATTGATGGTAGGGCCCCTCCTTGGTGTGACGGCAATGTTCACCAACCTATTGCAGCAATCTGGTAGATGGCAGACTGGGATTGGTGCAATACCCCAGGACGCTGGTCTCTCTGTAGCAGGCACACGTAATGGTAGAGCTGGATTGTCAATCGGTGCAATATGCTTGAACCTCCCCCTAAAGTATTAGATGTGTCTCAAAACAGAAACTGCTAACAGCAAGTAGATGCAGGTGCTCTGGTGAGTTGCTGTGTTTATGGGCAACTTTCTGTGGTGTGAACCCACCAGGATCTGTGCAATGAGGTTATGTAGGCCTTCTCCTTAACTCCTTCTCTCTCTCTTGGTTCCTGGCTGGTTGATGCTGCTCTTTCCTGCTCTTTCCTGGGCTTTTCAATTTATACCCTCCTTCTCTGGCTCCTCCTGCCTACATTAGGGTTGGTTTACTAAAGGCAAATAGACTGCAGCTGCACTATGCAAGTGCAGTTCCTCCAGAGCTTAGTAAATGAGGTAAAGCTCTGCCAACTTCCATCATCCAATCATGTGCAAGCAAAAATGCTGTTTTTTTAATTTTTTTATTTTCCTTGCATGTGATTGGGCATTCTTTGGAAAGTGAAGCTTTACCTCATTTACTAAGCTCTGGAGCAAATGCACTTGCAGAGTGCACAGTCTATTTGCCTTTAGTAAATCAACACTATTGGGTTTGGTAGTTCTTTTTCCAGCGACTGTAATGGCATCATGTATGGCCCAGACTACATTTCCCAGCATTCACTGTTCTCTATTTGAAGATCAGTTATAATATGTATCCACTATCACCATCTTGTGGCAGAAAAAAGAAATTGCACTCAGAAGGTTCCACCATGGTAAATGTAAGCCCTGGTTAACACTCAATGCAACTTTGAAATCTTGCTACTTCACTTGAAGCAGCGCAATTTCAAAGCTGTAGATCATTGCGATGTTTACCTCTGCTTTCACTGCGGATTGGAACTTCATTTAACAAAAGTCAATGCAAATCGCAATGAAATCGGTAAAAAGGAGTGCATGAACTATTTTTGAAGTTGCGCTACTTGAAATCGCACTGATTAACCTCCCTAGCGGTCTGATTATGTCCATATTTCTGTGCTTAAAGCGATACATTTTTTTGCATGGAAATATGTATTTTTTTTATTTTAGGCCTGTAATTTTTAGGAATAACTCACTGAAATCTGTCTGAACAAGAGTCTAGTAAACATCCTGGGTATGATACAATTTTTTAAAAATGAAATCATAAATTATAATTTAATAAATAATCATAAAAAATAATAATATAATAATAATAAATTTAATTCAATAATATAATCAAACCAAAAACACTGAAATTTGAAATATAGCGCCAAGTTCGCACATCACTGAGCAAAGTCGCAAAATCGTTTTCAGTGTCTGATGACGAATTTCCCCACGAATCATTATCACTCAATTCTGCAAGTGGTTCTGATTTACTATCGATGTTCTCTAGCCGGTCTAAAACCGCTTTTGACCTAAAGGGACGTTTTTTGGACGCCATGGACGTTTCTCAGTTTCCAGGCAGAAAGAACAGTAAAAATGCTGACAGGGCGCAGGACAAAGCACTCGGGACAAAATGTATGTGAAATGGTTTGATACAGGAATGCTATATTATGTGATTTTAGTGATTTTAGTGAATGTCACTTTTTGTCATTTTCAAATTTCCTGCCGTTCCGTCCCCCCTACTTCCCGACGCTCGTAGAGGACGGAACACAGATGACAGATGCCGGCATCCGCCGGATTACATTGCTGGGGACACTGCAGGAGGGACATCGCGGGAGCGCAGGACAAGGTAAGTGATCGAGGGATCGCGGAGCAGCACCGCATGGTGAGCCCGAGTGTAGCTCGGGGTTACCGCTTTTTGGTACTGAAACTTTACCCCGAGCTACACTCGGGAATACCGCCAGGGAGGTTAAGGCTTGGTTCACACTGGATGCGATTTAAAATCGTACGTTTTGTTTGCAATTTCACCACATTTTCTGAAGATTTGTTTGCAATTTGCAAAGATTTCCCAACAATTTATTGTGTTTTCCATTCTGGTGATTTCTTGCAATTTCCATGTCCTTCTACTTGTCAGAGGGGACATCAGAGGGGATGTGGGGGGGGGGGCTGTACTAGTCACAGGGAGGAACAATGTGAGGATCAGGCTTGAACAGCAGAGACAGCAGGAATAGAATAGACAAGGGTTAATAAAAATGATCACAAATCGCACATATTTAGACACACTTGCATTTTGCAGTGCAATTTCTATTGTAGTCTATGTATGTGAAATTGCAAAAAACTACAGAAAATGTAATATAAGAACTACTTTTGAAATTGCATTGCAGCAAATCGCGTATGTTAATCACATTCACATTCATCAGATCTGATTTCAGGTAGGATTTAAATTCCCAAACTGCACCTGAAATCACGGCAGTGTGAACCAGGGCTTAGACAATGGCATAGAAATACATTAGATGCTGCTTCAGGTGTGATTTGTAGATCGCATGTCGCACCTGAAGTCGCATTGGTGTGAAGCAGGGCTTAGGCTCTGTGTAATTCAGTAACAGTGATTCTGATTACAATCCCTAACTGTGTTTTATGTGATTTCAGGATTCCATATTTTCCAGTTGCTGCAAGGCTGTGTCCGCTATGATAACGGTACATATGACACAATATTTAGTTCTCACTATGATGGAGAACCTTTCCTGGCTTTTAGTGTGGAGGAAGCGAACTGGATTCCGGAGGCTCCAAAAGCACAGCACTTCGCTGAGATTTTGAATATGAATAAAAATGAGACAGAGGACCTGAGGAATAGTTTGTTAAATGAATGCATTCCACATATATCTCAGCTGCTGTCGCAGGGGAACTGCACATTTAACAGGAGAGGTACGGTCTAGTTCATATATAGAGAATTTCATAAATAATGCATACTGTTCTGTCTCTCCAATCTAAGCATTGAAAGTGTGATCTCTGTAACTTACAGTTGTGATGAGATAGCAATAACTCCAATCTTAGTTGCATAACACAGGCAGTGACTCGATCCATTCGACACCTTGTAGATCTTGTGGAGTTTTTTCCATAAACTGAAAGAATCTGAACAACAATGAACATCGGATAGGTCAAAAGATCATAATGTGATCTGCTTCCATAAGACATGAGGCTTGAAGCTGAGGTACATTACTGGGAAGATGAAAAAAGGGGTGGGGCTAGCTATACAGCATGAACTAAACCAAAGGAAAGGGAGGAGCAGAGACAAACTACAAAGAACACTTAAAGGCATATGACAGTCATGTGAAACATGACACATACCGTATAATTCCTTAATTCTGTAATTCTCCTGATTGTTTTATAGGTATATTGTTTTAGGAATAGGAATTTTTCCCTACTCATTCACCAAAACAAGAGTCAAAAATAAATAAAAACATAGACACAGTAAATCCCGCGTCAATCACGGAAAAAAAAAACGCTGACCTGAAAAACAAAACAAAAAGAGTGGTGTGTACCCGATGCTTGACTACCAATGTCTAAGAGCTCTGGTTCCTACCGACAGTAAATAAACAAAGGTGCGGGATCATATGATTACAAGGTGACCCCACCCCTTTGTTTATTTACCGTCCGCACTGGGAACTGGAGCTGTCAGTTGGCGGGTGCCTAGCAACATTAAGGGTGGGGGTCACATGTCATTGGCCCTCCTGCCCCAAAGAACCCCCCATGTGGCCTGCTATGGTTCAAGGAGGAGGGGGGCTCTCGCTGCCCCCCCCCCTTTGTTGGCCTGCCAGGCGGCATGTTTAGTTAAGTGCCTAGATTTTGGGGGGACCCATGCTATTTAAAAAAAAAAGGTGTGGGGTTCCACTAAAATCCATACCAGATCCAAAGGGTCTGGTATGAATTAGGGGAGAACCCCATGCCACTCGCCCTCCAGAGGGTTTACCCCCCTTTCTGTCCAGGCCATTTTTTGCGTGCACTGCAATACTGTAACTGACAATTGCACGGTCATGCAATGCTGCACCCAAATGAAATGTATGTCCTTTTGTCCCATGGATTGAGTTTTCTTCCGGTGGTATTTGATCTCCTGTGCGTTTTTTTATTTTTTGCGTTATGAAAAAATAAGATTGACAATTTTGAAAAAAAAAACAATATTTTTGACTTTTTGCTATTAAACATGTCCAGTAAAAAAATTTTAAAAATCAAATTTCATCATAAATTTAGGCCAGAATGTATTCTGCTACATGTCTTTGTTAAAAACAAATCGCAATACATGTAAATTAATTGGTTTACGTGATAGTTAAAGCATTTACAAATGGCAGTATATATACTGGAATTTTTTTTTATACTAGTAATGGCAGTGATCAGTGACTTATAGCAGGACTGCGAGAAATTCTGACACTGGGGGGAACTGACATCCACAGAGACACCAATACAGTTATCAGTGCTAATAAAAAACACTGACACTGTATAATGGCACTGGGCAGGAAGGAGTTAACATGGGGGCGATCAAAGGGTTAACTGTGCTGTGCGACGTTTTACATTGTGTCCTGTGTTAGTGCTTCACTGTAAGCACACTGCTTTGTAAGGCTCTGCTAAGCAGAGCCATGCAAATCAGAGTGCAGGAGCTGACAGGGAAGAGAACTGTTTTGTTTACAAACAGTTCCCCTCCGTCGGAGATGATTGGCAATCACCAGCAGCCGGCGAGTAATCACCGGCCGGAACCCGGTGATTGACAACCAAGGCCACGAATGGCGGCGCGGGTAGGGCGTGTGTGCTTCGCATGTGCTCCCTACCCAGAACTGCAAAATCACATATACAGTATATACACGTGATTGCGCACCCGTACCGCCCTGTAGCAGCATTTCTGAATGAATCAACTAAACTAAATGAAGGTAAACAAATTCTGAAAATGAATCAACTGAATGTAACAAATTCAATTAAACAAAATTAGTAGCATAATGAATCTTTCTGAAAATTTAACAAATTTTTTCATTCTGCTCATGTCTAGCAGTCACCACATTCTACACACCAAAGACTTATATGCTTCTGTAGCGCACCCCCAAAAGAGCCACTGGTGATAACTGATTGCTTTCCTCAAGATTAGTGCTCACACAGCCAGGCACACTAATCCATACCATTTTCTCCATCACACTGGCTAGAATAGATCAGATGAGGGGTGTCCTTTTTTGCAGAAATAGACTTGGATGGGGAAAAGGGAGAATGGGATACCCCAGAATCGGCTGAACTGACTTCTTTGGGGACTCTCCTCTTTATGCTGAACTGCACAAAGTCCCACTCAACTCTCTACTGGCTGACGGGTGCCTAGGACCTCCTTAAAGTGTTACTAAACCCCGAACCCTGCATTCACTATATCTGCTCTCCCCGGACCCTGCATTCACTATATCTGGTCTCCCCGGACCCTGCATTCACTATATCTGGTCTCCCCGGTCCCTGCATTCACTATATCTGGTCTCCCCGGACCCTGCATTCACTATATCTGGTCTCCCCGGACCCGCATTCACTATATCCGGTCTCCCCAGACTCCACATTCACTATATCTGGTCTCCCCGGACCCTGCATTCACTATATCTGGTCTCCCCGGACCCTGCATTCACTATATCTGGTCTCCCACAGTACACAGAACATGGAAATGCAGTTATTTGAGTAAATATAAATACCTTTTCTCATCAGCTATAGCAGTCTTGTGACTTCTATCAGTGTTCAGCAGAGCACTGGTTGAAGTTCTAGGAGGAGTTTCCATTCTGCTCTAGAGAGATGCAGGACCCCTGAGCTCGGTCTGGACAGTGCTGATTGGCCCTGTGCTGATCACATGCACTCTCACAAGAAAAAAAAAACATCTCTAGCAATACACACCAAACAGAGCACGTGAAGAGTGTCTCCACACAATATGTCTTATCAGGAGATAAGAGGGAGACACTGGAAGAAGGGGAGGATCAGAGAAATCTGGATCAAACAACATTTTTACACAATGCAGGGGATTAACTCTTTAGGTACCCACGGTGAGTATAACAAGCATGCTTTATTGCATATACAGACTGATTTTACTGTTGTGGGTTTAGTAACACTTTAAGCTCCAGCTGGGACTTCGATGACTCCTGAACAGCGCCTCCAGAAGCCTGCCTTCGGGGGGCAGAGCCCCAAGGCAAGGGTCTCCTCATAGCAGGACTGAGCCTGGGATCCAACACACTCTGCTCCAGGTCTCAGACTATTTATGGGCTCTCCAGCCACCTACTGGACATACCTCCCCAGGGATTGGCTGAATCCCCTTAAATATTCAAGCTGCCGCTCTATTCTTTCTCCCAGTGTGATTCTACAATCTTCTAAAATTCGAAAGTGATCAGATCACTGTGAGACACTAAGCAGACCAGAGCAATCAGACCCAGATTCACTGATGACAGAGAAGCTTAACTACTTTTATCTATCAACATGCACTATCTAGGAGGGTGCTACACTATAATATATTAAATATATAGATTTAGATGCAGTCTAAAGAACTTGTATATTATTAATATTGCCTTTAGCTCCATTAAAATGCCCTACTCATGCTTTACATCAGGGGATGTCCAATGGTACAAATCCAGCCCCTTGCAAGATTTTATCCATCCCTCTGATGTAAGAGGGGACTGATTGGGATTCTGATGTAGAGGGAACTCTGACTCCAAAGTAAGGGGTCTTTAATGGGGACATTGATATACAGGGGGACTCTGATGCGGACCCTCATGTGAGGGGTGACTCTGATGTAAGGGGGACTTTGATGGGGCCTCTGATGTATGGATGGGCTCAAGTTTATTTGGAATTTCTTTGCTTTGTTTTACTGAAATCTGTGGCAGTTGCTCTAAATCATATCATGCTGATTACAAAAAAGTGTATTATTTCATTTAAATTTAAGTAGTTCACTTAGGAAACTGATTTTTTGTTTTGGCCCACGCATATTTGTAGTATATATGATAGAAAGTGGCCCTGTAGCAAAAAGACTTCTGCATTACAGTATTTTCTTTTTTTTTTTTATTTGGCATTGCTATACTGTAGGTGTCCATGGAAGTTTTCAGTTTGCCATGCCTTTTTGTTTTTAATTCTTGCAGCCATCTGCAAAACAAGTTATCATCATGTATGAAAATAAGTTTGCTCGCTCGCTATTCGCCAGTTTAATAATTTTCTACAAAAAGTATATTGATTACTGCATGAGTTTGTGAATACTTTGGAAGACAGAATGAAACATGATTCTTTTTACAGTCATACTTTGTCTTACCTTCCCATCCAACTCTTCCTGTAGAACAACCAGTTGTGGTAGTGGCACAGACGCCCATCACAAATACCATATACAGACTGCACTGCCGGGCATATGGACACTACCCCAAAGACATCTCCATGACGTGGTACAAAAATGGACAGCCAATGCCAGAGAGTCTAATGGAGAGAGTGACCTTGCCTTTCCCTGACATCACCTACCTCACTTGGATGTCAATGAACATCACCCTGATGGACCATGATGTCTACATCTGTAGTGTCACTCATAGCAGTGTGATGTCACCACTCATGGCGAGTAAGTTGGGTGTTCCTATATAACATGAACAACAAAAGGTATTCTAAATTGCAATACATGTTCACTATTACAACAGTATTTGGCTGTAATTCTTTACCTACCTTCTCTCCTTTTCTGAGGCTTTCACATTTTCGCCTTCATCTGGGTGTCATTATGTATCAATACATACAGGGCTTTTTTCTAAAACAAAATAGGTGCAGGAACTCCCTCCCCCTCTGAGTCACTTTTTGTCTTCGCCCCCTACCCACCTCCAAGCACCATCACTTGGTTCCACCCCCTACCCACCCCGTTTTAAACAATACAGAGCCAAATATAATGTTGTGGTGCTAAATAATTTGTATGAAGTTTGTTAATGATAACAAGAAAAGCAGAAAAATAGATCCCCTGCAGCCAGCAGCAATAGACCTCCCCCCAGCAACAATAGATTCCTCCAGCAACAATGGGCCCCCTAAAAATAAAATACCACCCCAGCAACAATAGACCCGTAGCAGCTACAACAGATCTCCCAGCAGCCAGCATCAATAGACTCATCAGCAGCCAGCAACAATAGACAATAGACCCCTCCCTTATTAGTAAATCCTTCCAGAAACAATTGACGCCCACCAACAATAAATCCCCCACCAGCAACAATAGACCCCCACCAACTACAACAGATCTCCCAGCAGTAAGCATCAACAGACTCTCCAGCAGCCAGCAACAATACACAATAGACCCCTCCCTTAATAGTAAATACTTCCAGCAACAATGGACCCCCACCAACAATAGTTCCCCCGCCAGCAACAAAAGACCCCAGCAGCTACAACAGATCTCCCAGCAACCAGCATCAATAGACTCTCCAGCAGCCAGCAACAATAGACAATGGACCCCTCCCTTAATAGTAAATCCTTCCAGCAACAAGTGACCCCCCACCAACAATAGATCCCCCACCAGCAACAATAGACCTTCCCAGCAACAAATGGCCACTGCACAAATACAGATCCTATTCAGTGACCATAAATCCCCCAGCAGCTACAACAGATTTCCCAGCAGCCAGCAGCAATAGACTCTCCAGCAGCCAGCAACAATAGACAATGGACCCCTCCCTTAATAGTAAATCCTTCCAACAACAATTAACCCCCACCAACAATAGATCCCCCACTAGCAACATAGACCCCCAGCAGCTACGGCAGATCTCCCAGCAGCCAGTATCAATAGAATAGAATCTCCAGCGGCCAGCAACAATAGACAATAGACCCCTCCCTTAATATTAAATCCTTCCAGCAACAATGACCTCCACCAACAATGGATCCCCCACCAGCAACAATAGACCTTCCCAGCAACAAATGACCACTACACAAATACAGATCCTATTCAGTGACCATAAATCCCCAACAGCTACAACAGATTTCCCAGCAGCCAGCAGCAATAGACTCTCCAGCAGCCAGCAAACAATAGACAATAGACCCATCTCTTAATAGTAAATCCTCCAGCAACAGTTGACTCCCACCAACAATAGATCCCCCACCAGCAACAATAGACCTTCCCAGCAACAAAAGACCACTGCACAAAAATATATCCTATTCAGTGTCCATAAATCCCCCGGCAATACAATAGATCCTCTAGCACACCCCAGCACCCCTTGCCATTATATACATTCTGTGCTGGAGGTGCCGAAACTGCGTTCCCCCACATTCCCGCTGAAAAAAAAAAGCCCTGAGTACATATGTGGAGCCTCTTTGTGTACAAAACAAGCTGACCTGTACACCTTAAAGGATCAGACACACAGTATATCACTATACAGATTCTAAAATTTCTTGGTAAAGTGATCTTCAGGCAATGGGAAAACGGCACTCCATATCCAGCATTAAAGTGGTTGTAAACCTCAGACATGAAATATGAACAAAGCATATCCCTCTATAGTGTGTACTTGTCTCAATTAAGGGCACTAAGTGCCATTTCTGTCTGCTGCTTCATTCCTCTGCTCTCTGTATGAGTCACTTATGACAAGTTTTCCTGACACCAAGAGAAAAATGGTGACGGGGAGGGAGCTCCAGCAGATTGACTGCCTCAGTTCTATTCCTGTGAAGGTGGGTGTGTCTCTTCCTTCCAATCAGCTGTCAGAGCTCTACTCACTGAGCTCTGTGAAGTGTAATTTCAGCTCTCCGCCCCCTTTTTTTCTGACAGCTCGGGCAAGCTTTAATAATTCTGGACTTTGCATGGATGTAGAGAAGAGAAGACTGCAGATTATTATTATTATATTATACAGTATTTATAAAGCGCCAATAGTTCGCTCAGCGCTGTACATTACAAAGGGGGACAGAACATATGACAGAACAATACAATGCAAAACATGAGGGAATTGAGGGCCCTGCTCTTTCGAGCTTACAACTAGGAGATAAACAGGTACAACTTATATAGGAGGATTTGTTTCATCTCTGTGTATCACCTGAGGCCAGTCACTTCACTGGGCATATGAAAAAGGTTTACAACCACAGTAAATAAACTTTTTTGCTCAGAATGACAAACACACCCTGCCCAGCATCTCCCCTCTGACACAATTGACCCTAACAAAGAGCTTTCTGTTGATATTCCTTTTGGGGATTTCCTACTGCAGTCACTTATGTGATTTTAATATTATTATTATAATTATACAGTATTTATATAGCGCCAAAGGGTATGCTCAGCGCTGTACAGTAACAAGGGGGACAGAACATGAGACAAGACAGTAACAATACACTACACGAGGGGTTCGAGGGCCCTGCTCTTTCGAGCTTACAATCTAGGAGGGAGGGGAAGGTGGTACAGGAGGAGATGGCTGTGGGGGATGGAGTGGTGGGAGGAGTGGAGGAGGTCAGTTGTTAGGTGAGATCAGGTGTTAGGTGAGGTTGGGGTAGGCTTATCTGAAGAGGAGGGTTTTCAGGGTGCGCCTGAAGGTGAGGAGGGTAGGTGACAGTCTGATGGATTGGGGGAGGGAGTTCCAGAGGATGGGGGAAGTCCTAGAGAAGTCCTGCATTCGGGCGTGGTAGGAGGAGACCAGGGAGCTAGAGAGTAGGAGGTCTTGTGAGGAGCGGAGGGCACGGGTAGGGTAGTATTTGTGTATCAGGTCAGTTATGTAGTTTGGGGCGGCGTTGTGAATGGCTTTGTAGGTCAAAGTTAGCAGTTTGAAATTGATGCGTTGGGCAATCAGGAGCTAATGAAGGGATTGGCAGAGGGGGGAGGCAGATGTGGAGTGGTTGGTGAGGTGTATGAGTCTAGCCGCAGAGTTCAGGATCGACTGGAGTGGGGATAGCGTTCGTTTGGGTAGGCCAGTGAGAAGGGAATTGCAGGCATGAGATGATGAGGGAGTGTACGAGTTGTTTGGTGGTGTCTGGGGTGAGGAATGTGCGTATCTTGGAGATGTTGGGGAGGTGGAGCAGGATCTGGATAGCAGTTGGATGTGGGGTAGGAAGGAGAGGTGGGAGTCCAGGGTGACACCAGGACTTTGGCGTGTGGAGTGGGAGAGATAGTGGCGTTGTTAGTAGTGCTGGAGAGGATGGGGGGGGGGGCGCGGGGTGGGGGGAAGACCAGGAGTTCGGTTTTGGATAGGTTAAGTTTGAGGAAATGGAGCGACATCCAGTCTGATATGTCGTTTAGGAGCCTGTAAAAGTCAGCTAAGATATCATGGCTAATATCCGTTCTTGTATATCTGTTTTATAATTTTGGAAAGTTGACTATTATGATACAATGATGTGTTTCCATTATACAGGGCTCTCCAGGGACTCACCTCATCTTAGCGAAGGCAACAATGGCCCCAATGTTGGTGGCAGTGGCATCTCCATTGGCGGAATAATTGGCATATGTCTGATCGCCACCGTGCTGGTGGTTTCCATAGTATTTGGCTCTGTATGGTGGGCCAAGAACAGAAGACTGTGATGGAACAGAAGCATTGATGTATCCGTTTATATATGAATGGTAAAGGGTAGACAAGCCCAAGACTGTTGACTCCTCATAGATCATTAACAATATTGTTATTTTTAGGACAGGTAAAAAAAACAAAAACGTAAGCTGCCATTTTAATCTTCCTATTTGCCTGACCCTTTCACTTCAATAAAGCTGAACTCCAGACAGTTTTAAACAGAAAATATTAATAAACATTTTTTCACAATTAAACGTCTGATTACAGTCTATGTGTGCATGGACACCTAGGATAACATGCTGGGGGATGTATTAGCTGTAGAAAAAAACATCAAAAGCCAAAAACAGCCGCTGTAAAAACGTCCCGTGTGCATGAGAGCTAAAGGAATTTTTAGCTGTAAAAATGCTCTAATGCTGATAAAAGCTGAAAAGTGCTGATAAAAGCTGAAAAGTGCTGATAAAAGCTGAAAAATGCTGAGAAAAGCTGAGAAATGATAAAAAAAAAATAAAAAAAATGCAGCTGTCTGGTGCTTATGAGTGTTTTTGAGCCTGAAGATTTTGTGAGAGTATAACTGCTAAAAAAGCAAGTGCTGAAAAACACTAAAAAGCGCTGAAAACAGCTAATGCAAAAAAGGTAAAAAATGCAAAAAAACGTATTTTTTTTTAGTGCAGCATTCTACAGTTAACTCTTCTGGTGTGTTTATAACATCTAGTGTGCATGAGGCCTTAAACTGTGTCCAAAAGTGAAAAAAAAGAAGTGGCATATATATATATATATATATATATATATATATTTTTTTTTTTTTTCTCTCATTTTAAGCACATGTATGCTAGGCAATGTGTAAGTGTAACATCTCCAGCTATAAATGAGCTCTCTCAAAGATCACAGCAATCCCCCCCAAAAATGCCTTCATCTGCATGACCGTGCTGCATGACCGTGCAATAGTCATTTAAAGTAGCACAGTGCTGAATAGCGAAAATGGCTTGGATCATGAAGGGGTAAAACCTTCCAAAGGTCAAATTAAAAGTTTTCTGAACATAGTTTAGTTTTAACCAACCATTTTTATTCTTTGTTGTCTATGTAGTTTAGGCTCCATGTACACTGCAGCTGATAAACTCACGTTTAGGAGCTTTTCTGCATTTTTTTTAGAAGCCCCTGAACTCTCCCTAATGTTTTCCTATGTGTCCATGTACACATCGTCGTTTACAGGCAGTTGAGTTTACAGTCATTTTTTTGAACGCACCAAACTTGCGTTCGGGAGTAGATTTTATCAGCGTTTCAAATGAAAAGTACTTGTAAACACGTGTAAATGCGGCTAACCACGTTTATAAGCGTTTGTTTTGTAAATTATTTTAACTCTTCCATTTCCAGCTGCTGTCCAGAGCCTTTTTTCATCATGAAAAATGCACGCAAAGCATTTTCCCGATACTCAAATGGACCTGGTACACCAAACTTTGAGGTTTCGCATGAAAGAAAATATGTTAGACACTGCTGCAATAATTTCTGCACAGAAATGAGCTGGAACACATCCAAGCAATCTCAACAAATACTGCTCTCTCTGCTTCTGCTCTCTCTATTTCTCTCAAAATGTCTGAAACAGTTATTTTTTTACTGTTTTTCAGTGCATTCTGGGCGTTTTGGAAGGTTTCCTGAGGTTATCTTTAAAAAAACGCTTCTAAACACAAACGCTCATATACTCACATAAACGCGGTATGCAAACACGGCTAAACAGACGTTTTTTTAACCTACGTTTTCCAGCAGTCAGTTTCCATCGTGTAGATGTGTCCCGTGTACATGGAGCCTTAGGGTGTTCCAGGGGTACGTTCTTGACTCATAAAACGTGTTACAAAAGCTATCCTTCTTTATCATTTTTGAAAATTGATAAGTATATGGACATCAAACGGTTGAACGCTGATAAATAAACAATGGTAATCCCTCACGGGACTAGACCCTAGCCTAGAAGAAATGATTTATTTCCAACTTTACAATTCCAGTGTTAAAACCACAACAACCCATCCGAGCCAACATTATAACATGGACTGCGGTTTCCTAGTATGAAAAGGGACTTTACCTGTGGGTGGTGGGTAGCTGCCAGGACACACCTTGATCAGATTCCTGGGTAGGAGAGAAATTTATATTACTACCAGAAGAATAAAGCCACAGGTTAATCTGGTTCTACTGCACGGTGGGGAAGTAGCTGGATGATGGAGCGATATGTACTTTGTATTTTGCTGTCAGTGATCCTTTCTTCATCTTCTTCTACTGGTTCTTCAGGTGCGTAGAATTTCGTACATTTCACATTTTGTATTCTTTTGTAGTAAAGTTAAAGTGGAACTTCACTCTCTTAACCTCCCTAGCGGTATGATTATTTCAGATTTTTGGTGCTGAAAGCGGTACATTTTTTTGCATGGATATATGTTTTTTTTTTATTGTAGGCCTGTAATTTTTAGGAATAACTCACTGAAATCTGACCGAACAAGAGTCTAGTAAACATCCCGGATATGATAAAATTTGAAACACAAAATCATAAATTAGAATTTAATAAATAATCATAAAAATAATAATATAATAATAATAAATTTAATTCAATAATATAATCAAACCAAAAACACTGAAATTTGAAATATAGCGCCAAGTTCGCACATCACTGAGCTCATTCGCAAAATCGTTTTCAGTGTCTGATGATGAATTTCTCCACGAATCATTATCACTCAATTCTGCAAGTGGTTCTGATTTACTATCGCTGTTCTCTAGCTGATCTAAAACCGAGTTTGACCTAAAGGGATGCTTTTTGGACGCCATGGACATTTCTCAGTTTCCAGGCAGAAAGAACAGTAAAAAAATGCAGGCAGGGCGCCGGACAAAGCACTCGGGACAAAATGTATGTGAAATGGTTTGATACAGTAATGTAATACTATGTGATTTTAGTGATTTCAGCGAATGTCACTTTCAGTCATTTTTTAATTTCCCGCCGTTCCGTCCCCCATATGTCCCGACGCTCGCAGGGGACGGAACCCAGATGACAGATGCCGGCATCGGCTGGATTACATTACCGGGGACACTGCAGGAGGGACATCGCGGGAGCGCAGGAAATGGTAAGCGATCGAGGGATCGCGGAGCAGCGCCGCATGGTATTCCCGAGTGTAGCTCGGGGTTACCGCTTGTGGTACTGAAACTTTACCCCGAGCTACACTCAGGAATACCGCCAGGGAGGGTAATCAACATGGACTATTTTTAATCCTTATGCTGCTAGCATTAGTAAATAGATAGGAAAATATATCAGATTTACTTGTTTTAACCTTTTTTGTATGTTACTTCATGCCTAGGCAAATGATGTGATACTCCCCAGCAGTTTTCAGGAGAGGAGGGAGGGTTCTCAGCTCAGCCTATGCCTGAGCTAAGGGCAGATGGATTCCAGAAAATAACTGCTACATGAATCATCTGTCCTTACTCAAGATGGCCACTGCCAAAAAGGCCAGGAAGTGTTTTTCAAAATGATCTGCTCAGGATGAATGGCTGGATGGGTGGAGGAGTTTGCTTTGAATATTTACCACTTGCCCTCCAGAAGATTTATCCCCCTTCCTGACCAGCCGATTTTCTGTGATACGGCGCTGCGTTACTTTAGCTGACAATCGTGCGGTCATGCAATGCTGCACCCAAATGAAATGTATGTCCTTTTTTTCCCATACATAGAGTTTTCTTTTGGTGGTATTTGATCACCTCTGCGGTTTTCACTTTTTGCGCTATAAACAAAAAAAGACTGACAATTTTGAAAAAAAAATATATTTTTTATTTTCTGCTATAAAATATATCCAGTAAAAAAAGTATATTAGTTATTAATATTTTTGTTTTAAAAAATTGCAATAATTGTACATTGATTAGTTTGCGCAAAAGCTCTAGCGTGTACAAACTATGGTACATACACTGGAATTACAGAAAAAATGTTATACTAGTAACCTATAGCGGGACTGTGAAATGACGGTGGACAATTTTACACTGACACTTTGTGGGAACCAGTGACACGAGTACAGTGATCAGTGCTGAAAATAGGCACTGACACTGTACTAATGACACTGGCTCGGAAGGGGTTAACATCTAGGGTGATTAAAGGGTTAAGTGTGTGCCTAGCTATGTACTTGGTGTACACTAGGTGGTGCTTTTATCATGGGAAGTGATGGATTGTGTTCTCAGCTCTGCAGGGAGAAACGATTCATGACTTTCCCCTGTCACTACAGTGCTATGCAGATATAGCCATAGCTCTGTTTTTCCTCCCTGACCGACAATCTGCAGTGTTGGTGAGCAACTGCTTGTCGGGCTTGCAGATCGTTTTGTGCTGTGACAGTTAACAGCCGAAGATTTCCTCCGGCACGCGCGCCCCCCCCCCCGTGTGCCGGAGGTGCAAAATGACATTTATTTACGTGATTTTGCTCAGGAATGCTGCCCTGTAGCAGTATAACTGCTATAGGACAGGGGGGGGGGAAGTTGCTAAAGCGGAGTTCCAGTTGAATAAAAAAATAAAAGTCAGCAGCTACAGAAACTGTAGCTGCTGACTTTTAAAATACAGACACTTACCTGTCCCTCAATCCAGCGGTATCCTCACCATGGCTGGTTTCACCAGCTGTCTTCTCTCCACAGGGGCCGGCATCTTCAGTGTGGGCACCTGGCTGTGACAGCTTGCGGCTTCAGCCGGGTGCCCATTACGTACGTATAAGTGAGAAGCGCTGCGCTTTGTGAATGGCCCCATAGTCTTCTGGGACCGGTCACGTGTCCCAGAAGACTACGGGGAGGGAGGACAACTTCCGCTTCCGATCACCTTAGGTGGGAGTGGGTACTTATCAAATTTGCGTACCCGCTCCCCAAAGGTGCAATCCTTAATGGGGAGCGGGTGACAAAGGCTTAATAGGGAACTTCCCCTTTTGAATTTTTGGTTTGTGGTGCTCAGATGCAGTGCAGTTCCACTTTAATTTAAAGGACCATGAAACATAAATCCATGGATACATTTGTAAAAGCTAAAAAAGGGAGTATATTTCCAGATTCCTAACAAGGTGTAAATGAACTTTAAATCAAGACCTCTGTAGCTGCTGATACTGTGGAGAAATTCAACAGAAGCATTAAAACATTTCAGCTAATCTCTCAGCAGCTCAGTTTCTTTGCTCTCCCTCCCAGTAATGGTTCAGCAGCTTAGCTCACCTTGTACCTCCTCCCAGCAGTGTCTTAGAAGCTCAGCACACCCTCTACTCCTTCCCAGTAATGCTTCAGCGGTTCAGTGCATCCTGTACCTCCTTCCAGTAATGGTTCCGTGGCTCAGTGCATCCTGTACCTCCTCCTAGTAGTGGTTCAGTGGCTCAGTGCATCCTGTACCTCCTCCCAGTAATGGTTCAGTGGATCCGTGTATCCTGTACCTCCTCCCAGTAATGGCTCAGTGGCTCAGTGCATACTGTACCTCCTCCTAGTAATGGTTCAGTAGCTCAGTGCATCCTGTACCTCCTCCCAATAGTGGTTCAGTTGCTCAGTGCATCCTGTACCTCCTTCCAGTAGTGGTTCAGTGGCTCAGTGCATCCTGTACCTCCTCCCAGTAATGGTTCAGTGGCTCAGTGCATCCTGTACCTCCTCCTAGTAGTGGTTCAGTGGTTCAGTGCATCTTGTACCTCCTCCCAGTAGTAGTTCAGTGGCTCAGTGCATCCTGTATCTCCTCCCAGTACTGGCTCAGTGGTCTTGCCTAGGGCACAAAATGGTCTAGCACCGGTTCTGCCTGTGTGAGTCAGCGGCAGGCTTTACCAGTTGTTGTCGAGCACTCTCTACTCTCCCCTGCAGATGCCACTGGCTGGCACAAGGACGACTATGTAACTAGACCAGAGGAGCCTGCCAATAGGTAAGTATACACCTTTTTTTATTTTTACACAGGTTAAAAAGCATCTGTTTCAGAGGGGGCATTTTTAAGGCTACAGGGTTGTTATTGCTGCTACTGACACTAATGCTGGGGGGTTATTATTGCTGCTACTGACACCAGTGCTGGTGGTATTATTTCAGATACTGACGCCAATGCTGGGGGGTTATTATTGCTGCTACTGACACCAATGCTGGGGGGTTATTATTGCTGCTACTGACACCAATGCTGGTGGCATTATTTCAGATACTGACGCCAATGCTGGGGGGTTATTATTGCTGCTGCTGACACCAATGCTGGGGGGTTATTATTGCTGCTGCTGACATCAATGCTGGGGGGTTATTATTGCTGCTGCTGACACCAGTGCTGGTGGTATTATTTCAGATACTGACGCCAATGCTGGGGGGTTATTATTGCTGCTACTGACACCAATGCTGGGGGGTTATTATTGCTGCTGCTGACACCAATGCTGGGGCATTATTATTGCTGCTGCTGACATCAATGCTGGGGGGTTATTATTGCTGCTGCTGACACCAGTGCTGGTGGTATTATTTCAGATACTGACGCCAATGCTGGGGGGTTATTATTGCTGCTACTGACACCAATGCTGGGGGGTTATTATTGCTGCTACTGACACCAATGCTGGTGGTATTATTTCAGATACTGACGCCAATGCTGGGGGGTTATTATTGCTGCTACTTACACCAATGCTGGGGGGTTATTATTGCTGCTGCTGACACCAATGCTAGGGGGTTATTATTGCTGCTGCTGACATCAATGCTGGGGGGTTATTATTGCTGCTACTGACACCAATGCTGGGGGGTTATTATTGATGCTATTGACTCCAATGCTGACATCAGATAGCCTAGTCTCAGCTCTAGCTGTAAACCACTTGATATTGAGCTTTGCACCTTCACACCTCACATCACCCCAATTCTTGTGCCATCACATCTCAGACCACCCCAATTCCTGCACCTTCACACCTCACATCACCCCAATTCCTGCACCTTCACACCTCACCTCACCTCAATTCCTGCACCATCACACCCCACATCACCCCAATTCCTGCACCTTCACTCCTCAGACCACGCCAATTCCTGCACCATCACACCTCACATCACCCCAATTCCTACACCTTCACCCCTCAGACCACCCCAACTCCTACACCATCACACCTCACATCATCCCAATTCCTGCACATTTACCCCCCAGACCACTTCAAGTGATTGTAGCTGTATTAGTGCACTTGCAACAGAAACAATTGAGTATTGTCCAAGATACTTTTTTATTTGCACTAACATACATTTTATCAGCACCAACTTTCGGGGTGTACCCCCTTCTTCAAGGTGTGAGCAGTACTGATACACAAAGGTTTAGCAGAATGTTGAAGTAAGACAGTCTTTGAGGGACAAACAACACGAATATACAAAGCAATGATAATTAAAGTAGGATAGTTAATGAGATAGGACACATATGGCTCTCTCTGTATCTTATCTCACTAACTATCACTAACACCCTGAAAGATGCTCCTGAAAAATTTGCCCCAATTCCTACACCTTCACCCCTCAGACCACCCCAATTTCTGCTCCTTCACACCTCACATCTCCCCAATTCCTACACTTTCACCCCTCAGACCACCCCAATTCCTGCACCATCACACCTCACATCACCCCAATTCCTGCACCATCACACCTCACATCACCCCAAATCCTACACCATCCCTCAGACCACCCCAATTCCTGCACCATCACACCTCACATCACCCCAATTCCTACACCTTCATCCCTCAGACCACCCCAATTCCTGCACCATCACACCTCACATCACCCCAATTCCTACACTTTCACCCCTCAGTATCAACACCCCAATTCCTGCACCATCACACCTCACATCACCCCAATTCCTACACCTTCATCCCTCAGACCACCCCAATTCCTGCACCATCACACCTCACATCACCCCAATTCCTACACTTTCACCCCTCAGACCACCCCAATTCCTACACCTTCATCCCTCAGACCACCCCAATTCCTGCACCATCATACCTCACATCACCTCAATTCCTGCACCATCACACTTCACATCACCCCAATTCCTGTACCATCACACCTCACATCACCCCAATTCCTGCACCTTCACACCTCACATCACCTCAATTCCTGCACCATCACACCTCACATTACCCCAATTCCTACACCTTCACCCCTCAGACCACCCCAATTCCTGCACCATCACACTTCACATCACCCCAATTCCTACACCTTCACCCCTCAGACCACCCCAATTCCTGCACCATCACACCTCACATCACCCCAATTCCTGCACCTTTACC